TTGCTGTGGAGTCTCCCATCCACTTCCTCGCTTGTGTCTATGGGGTGCGTTACAGTCTCCCTCAAACCCACGAGGCCGACAAGGCGAGTATTATCATCCTGGACTCAGTCTGTCCTGTCTCCCCTCATTCTCGTGTGTCCCTGTCTCCGCTGTTCCCACCCTGGCCTGAATTAACTTTTCTTTTTTTACACGGCTGTGGGAACGTTTCCTCCTGGCAACAGAGGCAATCTGTATCGCTCCCCATAAAGAATCAGTGCATGAGATTCCTCAATAGATTTTTCCTTTCTGGACACAGTGGTGGCTTTGTTGCAGGGGCACCCGCTGCTGTAAGCCATACCCAAATGTCCCTGAGAATTTACCCCACCCGACTGTGCTGCCTGGACTTGCTGGTGGCCTCGTTAGACTCAGTGTTTCCCCAGACCCATGTGTGGCCAGCAAGTTTTGGGTCATGTGGGTTTAGCAGGACAAACCCCAGGCCCTTGCCTGACCACCTCAGGCTGCGGTCCTGTAACTTCTCCGGAAGCCACCCGGTTAGGCTAGGAAGCCTTCGCTCGTCTGCTGAGAACACCATGTCCCTCTCAGGGGTGGAATTTGAGATGCCTGTGTGAGGACGATCCTTCATCACTGCTGTTTGGCCCTGTTCATTCTGGGCATTTTTGAGGCTGCCTCAGAATGGTTCTTTTCAGCCCTCTCTGTTTCAGCTGTCCCTGGAGCCTTTGTTGATCCCTACTTCCCACAATCCACTGTTGCTGCTCCCTTGCAGAGCCCCGCTTAGGGCTTCTCATCCACACACTCACTAGGTCAGCTGCCCGGGCAAGCAAAGATAAATGGGGTTTCCCAATCAGGGTAGAATCTTTCTCATGAAGGGTAATCTTGCCCGACTGTTTGTAAATCCAAAAGTGTCCTTTTAGAGCCCTTGGGGTCAGGGACCTGCTCTGATCACGTGAGAGCAGCAGCTTTGGGATGCCACACCCCAGTCACTGAGGCCAAGCAGGGAACTCCACAGCTGATATTTATAGAGATGAGTACACTCCTGCATTTGTGGGCCTCAAAGCCTCACCTCCCCTCCAAGGCCTGGCCCTGCCTACCTCCTGCCAAACCATATTTCTTTGTGGCCTTCTTGTCCCATTCATTGTTCTAAAAGGGAGCTCAACCCTTTTGGCCTGTGCCTAAAGAGGGCTGCATTTCCTGGTCAAGGCAGGAAAGGAGAATGAGTGTAGTGGTTAGGAGCATGAACTCAAATCCAAGTGCCAGGTTCAAATCCTAGCCCTGTTACTATTTACTGAGTGCATCACCTGGGGCACATCATTAAGCCTTTATCTCTTCCTTCAAATGGAATGATAATCTAGGTAATTTAAGGCACTGGTTAAAAGCTTAACTTCTGCAATGAATTTAATCCTCAGAACACCCTGTGAGATAGGTTTTCTTATTAGGTCCATTTGATGAGGAAGAGCATAGTGCTGACATCATAGTATATGGGAAGGTGAAATGAGATAATCCATGGAAAATTTAGAATAACATCCAGGACATCGCAGGTGCTCAGTCAGTTTGAACAATTACCCGCCATGTTATGGAGGGAGGTACTGAGGTTCCCTGAGTTAAGTACCCCCTGAAGAGCATAGCCCTCAAGGTTAGAGGAAGCAGGTTGACTGGCCCCAGGCCACTGAGATTCCCAGCTTCTCCCAGGAGGCCCTGAAGGAGAAGGTATTCTGAGAAGGCAGGAAGTGCTAGCCAAGGGTACAGCTGTTAGGATTCACTCTCATCACAACCTCGGTGCCAGCTTTCAGAGGGATCCTCTGACCAGAGGAAATCCTGCCTTCACACTCCGATCACTGAGCTGAGATCTGGAGGGATGAGGGGCTTCCCAAGACAACCTGAAAGCCATCTGTGCCCTGTGTGGCAGGTGGCCTTTGGACAGGAGGGCTCCAACTCTCAGCGGATCAGCAGCTTCCTCCAGGGCTGGCTGCCGAGGCTCCCCCTTGGGGACGGAGCCCATAGCAACCTGACTTTAACTATCATGGAACCGCAGAGTGAATTCACAGCTCAGAACGCTGCTCAAAGGCACAAATGGGATGTTGATGAGTGGGAGGAAGCCCTGGCGAGCCTCCCTGGCCACCACCCTCTGTGCAGACCAGGCCTGCTGCTGCAGTCCACCTGCGCTGGCCTGCCTTAGGGAGTCACAGGATGGGCAGAGAGCGAGGGCATGGGCCCTGGAGATGTGGCCTCTGGTACTAGCTCTGCCCTGTCGGCCTGTGGGACCTTATCAGCTCGCTGGGCAGTGGTTTCCTCAGGGTAGAAGACAGTTGAAGAATGAAGGATTTGGTCAGACTGATGTGCATGTGGATTCCAGCTCTGTTACTAGCTGTTTAACTTTGAGAAGCCATGTAACCCTTCTAATCCTCAGTTTCCTCAGTGCCTGCCTATCTATAGGGCTCCTGTGAGAACCAAAGGAGATGCTGTTGTCAAAACATTTAGCATAATGTGTGACACGTGGAAAGGCTATGGGATGTCAGCAGTTATTTCAGTCAAATGAAAGGCTGGGTCCAGAGCAGGTTACCAACACTGGCTGGACGTAGAATCAGCTGGGTAGCTTGGAGAAGTAGCAGTGTCCAGGGCCCTACTCCTGATAGAGAGAGAGGGGACTTTGGGCTCTCACCGCATAGGCTCGGAGAAGAGCAGAGAGTCACCTGCCTTCCCGGGCCACAGCCAGAAGCTCAGAGGAATAGTCCGCTCACCATCCCCCTGTCCTTTCAGGAGTGGCCACCAACGAGGGGCAGAGCTGTGTGGGTGTGAGTGACACAGATGGGCACCACCTGTGTCAGAAATGCATGCTTCAGGCAGCAGATCAGGGACAGACTTTTAGAACAGGAGGCACCTGTTCTGTCACATTGTTTAGCCTCTTAAAGGGAACGGAGGATGGGGCCCAGAGAGGGAAGGGGGCCTGCCTGAGGCTGCACAGTGAGTGAACAGGACCAGATCTTGGACCTCTGGCCCCCTCCTGGCCCACACGGAAGGACAGAAAGAGAAAGAGAATGTTAAAAACCATTCCACAAAAATAAACAAACCCCCTTCCTCTTCTTCACCTGTCTGGTTGGGATAATGTGTAAACTCCCATTTGTCAGACAAACTGCCATTTGTCTTCCAGCTAGGAAGAATTGAAACAGTTGAAAGTTATTTGTAAAATTGTAAATGGTCAGCAATGTGGCCGTTAAATTAGCCAGTAGTAACCCATACAATGGAATTCTACGTTGTCATTAGGAGCAATAGATCTGTCCTGCTATGTCCTAAACATATTAAGCATAAAAAGAAACACGTGCATTGATAATATCCGTGTCATCATCACAGGATCTGTACATTCCTGCTTGTGCACATTACAACATCCTTCATGGTTACAAAGCATGCGCACGTTGTGGGGAGGGGTGTGTGTGTGGGTGTTGGGTGCAGAAGGAAGGCATTGACAGATAAAAGGTAACTTTTTGACACCTATTTAGGTAGTGCAGGTAAAAAACCAAACACATGTTTTAAAACATAGCACAATTATAATCTCTATCTGGGATACCCAAGGGCACAAGGGAGGACTCATTTGTTGAACATATCTGTTTTTGCCAGGTGCTATACAAGGCATTTTGAATGTAGTCTCTTCTTTGAAAGTTGGAATTAAATGGATAATGACAAGAAAAATAGAATGAAAGGTGTGCAGGTTGCTTCTGTGCTAAAAAATAAGATCAGGTGGCTAGGCACAGTGGCTCATGCCTATAATCCCAGTACTTTGGGATAGGCCAAAGCAGGTGGATCACCTGAGTTCAGAAGTTCAGGACCAGCCTGGCCAACATGGGGAAACCCCATCTCTACTAAAAATACAAAAAAATTAGCCAAGCATGGTGGCAGGCACCTGTAATTCTAGCTACTCCGGAGGCTGAGGCAGGTGACTCATTTGAACCTGGGAGGTGGAGGTTGTAGTGAGCTGAGAACACGCCACTGCACTCCAGCCTGGGCAACAGAGTAACACTCCATCTCAACAAAATAAATAAGATCATAAATGTGTAGATCTGTGTGAACACTTAATAACATAGTACTTGTGAGCATGGGACATTTCTGGAAGGATACAGGATACAAAATACAGATACTAGAGGTGTAGGATAGGATGGAGATTCATTATTCTTTCTTTTCCTTTCTTTCTTTTTTTTTTTTTTTTTTTGGAGATAGAGTTTCACTCTTGTTGCCCAGGCTGTAGTGCAATGGCATGATCTTGGCTCACTGTGACCTCTGCCTCCTGGGTTCAAATGATTCTCCTGCCTCAGCTTCCCTAGTAGCTGGGATTACAAGCTCCTGCCACCACGCCCAGCTAATTTTTGTCTTTTTCCTAGAGATGGGGTTTCACCATGTTAGCCAGGCTGGTCTTGAACTCCTGACCTTATGATCCGCCTGCCTCGGCCTCCCAAAGTGCTGAGATTACAGGCATGAGCCACTGTGCCTAGCCAGAGATTCATTTTTCATAGTGTACCTTTTATATTGTTTGTGTTTTGTATCACATATGAGCTATTTTTATATTAAAGAACTAACCAGTTAAATAAAGACCTATGAAAAGCCAGCAGAGTCTATGGAAAGTTTAGTTCTAACCATGCCTTGGTGTGGGTACTTCAGCAGGTTACCTTCGGTTATGGAGTCTGTAATACTCTGTGTAAGAATCATTTCAATCCATGCTTTGTTTCTGAGCCTAAACCTTGCTCCTTCCATGCCCGCCCACGAGCCCCCAACTGATTGAGAAAGGGAAAAAGATAAGGACCAAAAAACAGAATATTTTAAGTTCAGCTGAAATTCCACCTGCTCTACAAAGTTCTCTGGACTCATTATCTAACAGGCATTTCTCCCGGCCATGAGATCTTGCTGCTGTGGCTCTGCCCTCCCCTCTGACTCGCATGTTGTCTGCCTTATAGTAGACATGCCGTGTTGATCTTTGAGCAAAATGCCTGCGTTAGGACTGTGCTCCTTCTTGCTAGGTACCTGCTGGAACAGGACTTCCCAGGCATGAGGATTGGGCCCGAGCCCACCACAGACTCCTTCATTGCAGTGATGCAGGGAGATATGGAGGGGATCATCCCTGGGAACGCCCTGGTGGTGGATCCCAAGAAACCCTTCAGGAAACTCAACGCCTTTGGCAACGCCTTCTTGAACAGGTGAGTGTGGAGGGGAACACAGCACTTTCAGGTGCTCTCTTTTCTTCTTCTTCGAGTATGGGGGGTGAAAGAACAATAGGCAGGGCCTTGGGAGGCTTGGTGCCTAGAGTCTCCTGTCAATCTTTCCATACCTAGATTGTCCCTTGCTTGCTGAGAGTGTAACTGAGTCAGTTGTGAGATGCAGCAGCTGCAAATGCTGGGCCGATTCCTCCTTCTCAGGGAGCAAGGAAGGATACAGCATTGACTTAGGTCACATTCCCCTACCCCGCACCTACCCCTAGTAAAAGTGGAGGAGGATGCTCCATGTAGTTCCCAGCATTTGCCTAAACGTGCAGTGGCTGGGATTTGCATCCAACTGGAAGGAGGCAGACGAAGGTTCTCTTCTGTTCACGGATATTGTTTCTACCTGGTGGGAAGAACCCCGGACTTCAGAGGGAAGCCTTGGGTTTGAGCACTGACTCTTCTACTAAATTAAATGAGCTTGCACAGGTCACCTGTCTTCCCCCAGGACAAGTTCAGCCCTGCAGATACCAAGATCATCATGATGATTTGCATGGAGAAAGCTCTAGGAATGCTTGGCAAACTAATCTGGGCCTTCGCATTAATTATTCTGTTTAACCAGAATGCAGGCTGATCCCCTGCTCACACTTATTACACTTATAAATCCAGTTTCACATGTGCATGGTAAACACTTTGAAAATAATTTTAAAACTACTTTTTCTACTTGGAGGTGTTTAGAGTAGAGGTAATGAATACGGGCTTTGCCTTCAGAGAGACCTGGGTTCAAATCCTGCCTAATACTGTGGCTCTTGAACAAGTTACAAACCTTCTTTGTTTCTTACTTTTCCCATCTGTAAAATAGGATAATAGGAGTTAAAGGAGAAATAAGTGGGACAGTGAACAGAAAACACTTCGTGCCTGGCACATAGTAACCAACAGGTTAGTTAGTGATAGTGTTATGTCTTGTTTCATTTGATTCCTTAATTGTTTAGTGAATGGAATAGGCATCTGCTGTGGCCATTTTTCAGTTGTGGAAGGTGAGGCTCATTGCTCAAAGGATTCTCGATGTCTCTTATTCTAAATATATATACATACATACATATATATATATCTATATATATATATATATTTGTTGTTGTTGTTGTTTTTGGTGGGATGGAGTTTCACTCTTGTTGCCCAAGCTGGAGTGCAATGGTGTGATCTCGGCTCATTGCAACCTCTGCCTCCCAGGTTCAAGCAATTCTCCTGCCTCAGCCTCCCAAGTAGCTGGGATTACAGGCATGTGCCACCACACCTGACTAATTTTGTATTTTTTTTTTGTTAGTAGAGACAGGGTTTCTCCATGTTAGTCAGGCTGGTCTCAAACTCCCAACCTTAGGTGATCCACCTGCCTTGGCCTCCCAAAGTGCTGGGATTACAGGCGTGAGCCACCATGCCCAGCCCTAAATAATATTTTTTATAAACCTATGAACTTGTTTCTGACCTTTCTTACAGTGGCATGGAGTCAATAACAGTCTGAGACAGGGACAGGGAAACAACCACATGAATGAAATGTGAAATTGTGAGTGGCCAAGGTGTGCACCCAGAGTAGGGAGCAGCGGAAGGGCCATACTGAGAAATCTCAGGAACTTGGCCTGGCAGAGAGGCCCAGGCATGGGGTTTGGTTTATGTTGGGAATGAAGCTAAGGTCCATTTAGGAAGAATGAGGAGGTCGTGGTGGTAAGGTGCAGTGGGGCAGGCGTCCTGGAATCCGGGGTGTCTCTCATACCTGGGAATGAAACCGAGGTCAGTTTAGGAAGAATGAGGAGGTCGTGGTGGTAAGGTGCAGTGGGGCAGGCGTCCTGGAGTCCAGGGGTGTCTCTCATACCTGGAACTGAGTAAGGAGGTTCTGGATGCCCAAAATGCTAAAATGCAGAAATGGAGGGGGTGGGATGAGCATGATTCAGGAGAATGAATCACCAGAGCTGAAGAGAAACAGGGATATCTGAGCAAGGGGGTTGGCGATGAATTTGATTTTGGACAGGTTGAGTTTGCAATGCTGGTGAGTCAGCTGAGGAGCATCATCCTATCTGAAGGCAGAGAGGAGGAGCTAGACCCCAGGGGAGAGGAGGGAAAAGCCGGGGAGAGACAAGAGGAAACTGGGCTCATCACAAGAGAGGAGTACAGGTTTAGTGAATAATGCCATTTTGGGATAATTGTGCTTATAATGATATAGTGTACTGTATTATATGTAATCGCGTATAGCCTATTATGATAACAGAATTTAAGAGATTGCCATCATATGCTGGGTGTATTCCTGAAAGCTGAGCGCCCTTATGTCATTAATCAAACCCAGCAAGTCTCATTAACTCCATTGTTAAATTTATTGAAACCAGGAGTTGTGGGTGAGGTTGGGTGGGGTGGTTTACTTTAAGTAAAGACACCTCTTTCAATATTATTATCTTCATCTAGAAAGTGATAAAATGTAAATTGCCATAATCTAATCCTGCAAATGTGTGAAGAAAATTTGAGAAAGGAAAAAATACATAATTCTTTACAGTGGTTACTTTTTTTTTTTTTTTTCTGTCGCCCAGGCTGAAGTGCAGTGGCGTGATCTCAGCTCACTGTAGCCTCCGCCTCCTGGGTTCAAGCAATTTGCCCACCTCAGCCTCCTGAATAGCTGGGATTACAGGCATGTGCCACCACACCTAGCTAATTTTTGTACTTTTAATAGAGACAGGGTTTCACCATGTTGGCCAGGCTGGTCACGAACTCCTGGCCTCAAGTGATCCACCCACCTTGGCCTCCCAAAGTGCTGGGTTTACAGGTGTGAGCCTATAACCGGCTTACAGGGGTTCCATTTAGGGAGTGGAAGTGAGCAGAGCAGACAGATGGAGAAGAGGAACACCTTCCTATTTCATTTTATGCCTTGCTGGACCATGTTTTGGTTGTTTTTTTGTTTGTTTGTTTGTTTGTTTTTTACCATGTGCATGTATTTTACAAAAAGTATAAAGAAAATATGTAGGAAGGTGTTGTGAAACAAATAACATGCACATAAAAGGTGATACTAGTAAGGGGTCAGGAATCTCTCTCTATATTTGTGATTTCAGTGAATAAAATGAAGGTGACTCAGGCAAGATCCTGCATTTCCAGAGTGACCTCGTGTCTGGCCTGGAGAGCAGACATTGACAAGGAAAGAAATGTGGCCGCAGGAGGGGCTGTGTCTCCTGCCTCCCTCCCAGGTGCCTTGCTAAGGGATAGAATTCATGTTTTATTTCAACAGACACCAGGCCCCTAGCGGCCTTGGGCTCTGTTTTTTGGGGGAATGTAAGGCTGATCCAGTCCAGTGGACACAGGCTTGGAGACAGCCAGTGAAAACCCAGGCAAGAGGAAGAGCAGGGCTGACGAGGCCTTTGTGGGAAAGTTGCCATTTGACCCTGACGTTAATGGGTGAAGTGACACCAAAAATGTAGTAAAAAAAGAGGACATTCCCAGCAGAAAATACTGAAGAGAGAAGAGAGAGAAAATATGCATCGCTAGAGAAGAATGATGAAAGAATGTGGCTTCCTGCAGGCACCTATGAAATCGTGAGGTTCTGAGATTTTCTCCAGGAGCACGCAACAGCTAAAGTGGTGGATGTTTAGGTTGGCTGGGGGTCTGCTAGGCATGTCCATTGAAACGACAGCAGGGATGATGGGAGCCCTCTTGCACATGCCACCGGCTTCACTGCAGTCCGCACAAGGTGCTGCACGTTTTAGATTTCCAGGTTCCTGTTTCTGCGCTGCTGAGTGGTCTTATTTCACACCCCTTGTTTGCTCCCCTTCCCTCGCTTCTCTTGAATGACACTTGACTGCCATCCTAATAGAGATGTTTGGCCTTTAGATATCCAGATAAATGTTCCTGGGTGGTTCCCATTCTTCAAGGCCAGCTCCAGTGCCTACTCCTCCAGGAAGCCCTCCCTGGAAGCCATTTCTCTGCCTTGAATTTTCCAAACACTTCATCTGACTTCTCTCAGGGTGCTGGTCCCATTGCACCGTGTATTCTGGTTGTCCATGTATAGGCCTCCTGTCCTGCACCAGGCTGTGCTCCTTGGAGACAGGGATCGAGGTTTGGACATCTTAGTGTCCCCCGCAGCAGGACTTGGCAAGCATGAACCATGGCTGCCTCACAATCATCCAGGGAGCTTCCTCAAAGCATAGATCCTGAGTGAGATCTACTTTTGGGGCTGGGATTCTGGCCTGCCTCCTGGGAGTCTGCATTTTAAGCCAGCCAGGCTTGTCATCCTCTTGCCATGGCACCCAGCCTGCTTTCTTGCACAGAGTAGGGCTTCAGTTACTGTTGAATGATACTCTATGTACAAATGAGGACATATACAGGGAAGCACAGCCACTTTGCCCACGAGGATCAAATCAGAAGGAGGATCCTCAGACCCTGACTCTGTGCAGTGATGGCTTCGGACAGATTCGTGAAGTCCCTCCTGCCCCGCTAGTCCCTAGGGGCTCATATGAAGACCAGGCAGGGTGTCTTCTCATTGTTTATCTAAAAAAGCTGAGGTTCCTAGAAAGGGCCAAGCTAAGTGGAGTTACTCAAGGCAGGGAGATAGCTGACCAAGGACAAACTAAGGACTTGGGCCATAAGAATTAGACCCAGGCTTTGATCACACATGAAGATGGGATGTCGCTATGGAATAGCCCTGCTAGTCACAAAGCATTTTACCAAACACACCCGGGTGCAGGGCACTCTAACACTGGATGTGGGGAGAGGCAGGGGTTCAGCCCTGGGTCAGCTGTCAGCCATGCCCTGAGCTGGGCAAGCCCGTGGTGAACTGAACGTTTCAGGATGCACCTGCAGCTCACCTGAGAGAGACAAGACAGGTGGTTGGAGTCATGGGGCTGGGTCACAAAAGGCGGGCAAGTACTCACTCAGGTTTCCTCTGCCCATGCAGGTTCGTGTGTGCCCAGCTACCCAACCCTGTGCTGGAGAGCATCAGCGTCATCGACACACCAGGGATCCTCTCCGGGGAGAAGCAGAGGATCAGCCGGGGTAAGCAGCCTGCCTGAGGGGTGTTGGCTCCATGGTTCTGACATGTTCACTCTCTTACATACCAGAAGAGAAGCACCCAGGGCTATGCTGTACCTTGGCGAGCCGGCACTTCTCCTGTGCTGTATGGGATCATTTTACCTGGGGCAGTCCTAGACAGGGGTCTGGAGAGGAATTCAGGTCCGCTGTAGCTCAGGAGACAGCTGACCTCTGTCTTCTCATCCATAAAATGAAGACATCAATATCAGCCTCACCTCATTGGGTTTATTCATGCTACAAGAGGCACCTTCTATGGCCCTGATCCTGGCTTGCTTCTTAAGTTCCTGGGGAGCTTGCAGCTCTGCAGGGCAGCCAGAGGCATACAGAGAAATTCAGCTCAATGGTGTCAGTGCTCTGGGTCATAAGAGGAGAGAATCAGGTAGTGAAAGCACTTCGAAAACTGTTCACTCCAGAAAAACATGGGGTAATTGCTCATTAAAGGAGGTTGCCTGGTGTGGTGGTTAGAAGACAGAACTCTGGAGTCAGGCTGGCAGGGTTCTAAGCCTGCCTCTGCCACTTCCTAGCACAGTGATCCTCGGCAGGTTTCTTTATTTCAGTTACTTTATCAGAAAAATGGTGTGGGGTGGCGGGGGCGGGTGGGGTGGGAATAGTACTATCCATCTTATAGAGCTGTTTGAAGATTAAAAGAAATGCTTTAGATGAAAAGCCTTTTCTGGCTGGCACATAGCAAGCACCTAGTAACCATGAGGTATTATAGATCATCATCATTATCATTGTTTTCGTTTTTTTTTTTTTTTGAAACAGAGTCTCACTCTGTTGTCAGGCTGGAGTGCAGTGACGCGATCTCGGCTCACCGTAACCTCTGCCTCCTGGGTTCAAGCGATTCTCCTGTCTCAACCTCCCAAGTAGCTGGGATTACAGGCATGCGCCACCACACCCAGCTAATTTTTTGTATTTTTAGTAGAGACGGAATTTTACCATGTTGGCCAGAATGGTCTCGATCTGACCTTGTGATCCGCCCACCTTGGCCTCCCAAAGTGCTGGGATTACAGTCAGGAACCACCGCACCCGGCCTGTTTTCTTTTCTCTAACTCTAAAATGCTACGCAGATGCTGTCAAAAGCTAAAAACAACTGCTCTGGGCCGCCACCCCCAGCCTGTCCTGCCACAGTTTGCTGAGTGTCCTGCATAGCCCCCTACCCTTTCTGTGCCATGTGTTGTATCTCCGACAAGAAAATCAGATGATGCCACGTCCACCCCAGTATTGGAGCTAGTTGCCAGGGCTGGCGCCACATCAGCACTCAGAAGTCAGACTCTGGGTAAGGGAGGGCTTTGAACCGCTGGGGATCTCTGGGAAGCAGCTAGAACTCTTGCCTGAATGGACCTAGGTAGGTGACTGTCTGCATGTGCCTTTACCCTCTGTGCTCTGTGGCTCCGACTGGGACACAGATCCACCCTGCCCATGTCTGTGCCACCGTAGTGGGTCCCAGAAACCTTTGCTCTTTCTGCAAGAGCATGGCCTGCCCAGGCCAGCACTGCTCACCCCAGACTCCTCAGAGGAGAGGTCACAGCCTCATGGTGTGACAGGCCGGTGCTCCTGCAGCTGTGTATTGACGAGACCCAAGTGGTGCAGGCCCTTGGCCCAGGTGCAGGCCACTAGTGCCAGACCTGGGCTTCTGTCCAGTGCCCTTGGGAGCTGCCTTGGTGTCCTCTCTGCAGAGAGCAGCTCTTTTCTGATGCGGGCAGGCACGTGATGCAGGGCCAGGCTCGGCTCTTTGGGGCTACACTATGGCTGTGTGTGAGCTACCAAGCCTGCCCTGGCTGGGAGTGCAGAGGGAAGACAGTGAGAGAGGCTGTCCAGGTCAGCAGCCTGCTCAAGGGCCAGGTTAACCCCAGTCAGGCCTCCAGGGAAGACACAGCCTGGAGTCCTCATCCTGTCGCAGGTGGGAGGGAGAGGGGAAGCTGAACATCCTGAGCAGGAGAGCCCTGCCCTGCCTCCTCACCACCTCTTGCTTTGCTTAGGAGGTAAGACCTAGGAAGAAGAGGGGAAATGAAGCAGCTGAGTCAGGAGGGACTTGGGAAACTGTATTAGCAGTTCCTGTAATTGGTGGCCTGTGAAATCTGGGACATCACAGTGCACCCTGGGAAGGGGGTCTTGGAAGACTTGATCCCCTGGCTCCCTGTCTTTGGGCTGTATGGTGGAGGTGATAGGGAGCTGGAACCCCTGGTCTGGGAAAATAGGGATGTCTGAGCCTCCCTCCTACCAGCCCGCACACACGCTGTAAGCACCTGGCTCCCTGTTCAGGGCCCTGTGGAGGAACAGCACGGGTAGTTTCTCTGTCTTGCTTTGGTTTGTTTCCCTGAGCACCCCCCTTCTCCTACCCCACCTATTCCCATCCCCAAGTGGTTCATCTGGGGTTCACCCTGCGTTTAGGACTGAAAGGGATTTGCTGTTTCACTCAGGCAGCTCAGGACTCCTCCAGGAAGGCTGAGGAAAGCCATCCCTCCCCAGGGTGAACTCCCTGGTGGATGTGCACATGTACACCTGCAAGGCCGGTGCAGGCTGACCGGCGCGTCCAGAGAGGACTCCAGCCTCTGCGTTTCCAAGGACACTGTACTAGGAGTTCAGAGTTCTGGGCTTTAGAACCTCTGTGTGTCTCAACAGGTCACATTTTCAGTGTCCCCATGTGTAACAAGGGGTAATGATATGCATCCCACAGCCTTCTTGTGAGGTCCATAGACCATATGAAAACATGGACCATAGCCCTGGGTCTGGATCACCATGAGCTACCTTCCTTCCTCCCTCCTTGTCAGTTGGCCCTACCTATCATACAGTCCCAGAGTAATCTGTGTGAATGGTTCCCCTTGCAGTTGTGCAGTCCACAGCCTGTGCGCTTGTTTGTGGCAGGCTGGTTCCCAGGGACTCCTGCCTTCCTCAGTTCCTATCCTATTCCCTTCTTTTCCTATTTCTGTTTTTTTGTGTTTTGTTTGTTTGTTTGTTTTTGTTTTTTTGAGTGTCTCCAGGCTGGAGTGCAGTGGAGCAATCTTGGCTCACTGCAACCTCCGCCTACCGAGTTCAAGCGATTCTCCTGCCTCAGCCTCCTGAGTAGCTGGGATTACAGGTGTGTGCCACCACACCCAGCTAATTTTTATATTTTTAGTAGAGACCGGGTTTCACTACCTCTCTCCTGCCTTTGTCTTTGGACCTCAGTGACTGCCTTAAGCAAATTAGGTCCTTGGTGTTCTTGCCTGCACTTCCTGATGCCTCCCACCCCACATTGACTAAGCGCCAGGTCCCCCTACCTCTGGGAGAAGTGATGGGCCCAGGAGTGGCTTTGCAGGCCAGTTTGTTTTCTGCTTTCCTGAGTCCAGACTGTAAATGCAGCTGCTGGCAAAAGCAGCCTGTGTTAAAAACAAGAACTAGGAACTGGGCTGCTGGTGCCTGGAGCCGTGCTGACCTCAGCACCCTGAGGAGACCAGGAGAGTTGGGGGAAGGGTGTCAGACACCCTGAGTTATCTGTGGTACCCCAAATGAGGAAAGTTTCCAGGGTGCAGAGCCCCACCTCTTTCTTTCTCACAATTGGCCTTAGAACACATAGTTCCAGTTTAAACTGACACACATAGACCCTCCCCTACACATGCACACACACTCCTCACACATACCCCGCACATATACACAACTCCCGTCTTCCCCACAGCACCCCCCCGCAATGCGCACACACACATACACAAATGTGTGCATAGAACCAAAGTTGCTTTCTCATGGCTTCTTGCCTGGGCCTCCAAGAGCTCTGGATTTGGCCACAGAGCAAACTGGGTGCTTCTCGTCTTACTCCAGCCAGCTCAGGCCAGGACCAGACACCCTTGCTCCCTGGGATAGTCCTGCCAATTATGTCCTGCACGAGGGCGTCTAGAGCCTGAAATTCAGCCCACCTTCTGCTCACTGAGCCTGATACCTGGCGCAGGGCTGTGTCTCAGCAGATAAAAAGGGGCATGGTTATCAAGTCGGCACAGAGGCCCCGACTGGCCACATTAGACTGCCTGTTCTGCAAAGTGAGCTGCTTCTAAGGGCTCCAAGACCTCAGGCTTCACAGGAAGGAGCATTCGGGCCCCAGGCTGGACTAGGGTGGCAAAGGGTCGTTGTTGCTCAGGGTGTGGACCCTCTACTGGGCCTGGGGCGCGGTGTGTCTTGTAGGAAGAAGGGTGGGGTGCCCGGGAAGCTGATTCTAGGAGGTCCTGGGCCAGCACTTGTCTCTGGATGCAGATGCATTGGGGTAGGCAGGGAGGTGGTTCCTGGAAGTGGCAGGATGTGCCCCGGCCTGGCTCATTACTGGGAAGAAGTGAGGATGCAGCAGGAGTGGGAAGGCTCCAGAAGGCTGAGTGTCTTCAGCTTAGGAACCACATTTCCTGGCTGCTTCCCAGCTAGAAATCCCCACAGGCGCCACCTTAGGAAAGCAGGGCGGGGCTTTGTGCTCACATCACAGACTGCACAGCTTGAACCTCCTCCTCACAGGCCCCTTCCCGCACAGGTGAGCTCAGTAGGGCCAGAGCAGCTTGAAAATTTGCCCAGATCACACACCTAGATTGGGAACTCTGGTCTCCCTATTCCTGGTCCAGCGGCCTCTCAGCACATTATCATCACCTGCCCAGGAAGAGCGCAGCGGGCAGGAATGAGGGCAAACCTCTCATCTCCAAGTTTCCTCTAGGGGTCTTTAGGACTCAGACCTTGGCAGATCTGGGCTCATCCTTGCAGCCTCACATTCCTAGCCCATCCAGGGCACCCTCACTGGAGCAGAGCCTGCACTGAAAGGCCTCTGGGTCTTCCCAGACTACGTGCCGGTACAGGCACACCTGTGTGGGTGCTCCTGTGCCTGGGCAGAGCGGCCAAGTCCTGATGCCCTTCAAACGGCCTTGCCGACCATCTGCTTGGGCCACTCTTCACTGTTCCTTCTGGGAAACATCTAATGTGACATTTCTTCTCCATTGTCAGCCAAACTCTTCCCA